GATCGACCCAATAAACTTGATTGGAGAATCAGTTGTGGAATTAGGAAGCCTAAACGAAGTAAAAGTTTTCTTATTCAAAGAAACTCAAGAGAAGAGGCACATCCTTATATGTCCATAGAATCTATACAAATGTGCAATGGACATACGCCCACCTCAGGATCCAACGGTAGGGAACAGAGAAATGATCTTAGTCCCATCTCTAAAGAGAAGCTCACATCCGTCCATGGAGAATAGACACAAACCAACCCCAATTATTAATATGTCTAGTCCCATAAATTTTATTATATGGAATATTAGAGGTGGGAATAATAAGGATTTTAGAAGAAACTTTAGGGAGCTCATGGTTCACCATAGGCCATGCATGGTCACTCTCCTCGAAACTTGAATGCAAGCCCATGCTTCTCTTATGAAGGACTTTGGTTTTTCGGAGTTGATTGAAGTGTCTGCTGAAGGCCAAGCTGGTGGTATGGTTGTTCTTTGGGATCATACCAAAGTGAACGTTCATAATTTTGTTCGTCGCAATTATGAAATTCATGCAACAATTGAGGTACGACCTACAAATTTTAATTGGTTATTTTCGTCAATTTACGCTAGTGCAAGCTCTGTTATTAGAGACCAAATATGGGATAATATTAAAAATATTGCGGATAATCACAATGGACCTTAGTTAATTAGTGGTAATTTTAATGATGTATTTAGTGCTAATGAAAAACTAGGGGGAAGACCTTTGAATCGTAGATGTGCCCTGAAGCTTTGGTCTAGCCTAAACTATTGTAACTTATTAGATCTTGGATATAAGGGCAGTAAATACACTTGGTCAAATCGTAGATTTGCCAATAATAAACTTATTATGGAGCGTCTAGATAAAGTTTTTAGTAATGACCAATGAATACAAAATGTTTCCTAATGCTTCTATAATCCAACTCCCTAAAACTCATCGGACCACAATCCGTTGCTTATCAACCTTATTCCAAAATAGTGTCACCCCTATCCCAAACCATTTCGACTTGAACCATTTTGGTGTAAGCATCCTCAATTTCATAATGTGGTTACTAATTCTTGGGAAAATAATTCTTACATTGAAGTCACTGGCACTTTCAAAGACAATGTCACCACACGGAAGAATAACACATTTGGTGACATCTTCAAAAATAAAAGACGGATCCTAGCTAGACTTAACGGTATTCAGAATTCTTTATCCTACCATACTAGTACCTTCCTCCAAGCTCTGAAATTTTTTTAAATAAGGATTATAACAACATCCTAAAATTGTAGGAAGACTATTGGAAACTCCGTTATAGAATTCTTTGGTTAAATTAGGGAGATGTGAACACTAAGTTTTACCAGATTATAACAACCAATAGAAAAAGGAAAAATAAAAATATGTTTAAAAATGATCAAGATAGGTGGATTAGTGATCCTGAAGATATCATTAACCATACTAGTGACTATTTCAAAAAAAGTCTACACTACTTCTCACGTTTCTAGTAATTGGGAAAGCATTAAGAATGACCCACAATCTTTTTCTAGTATAGACTTAACCTCTTTAGACAATCCCATCTCAAATTCGGAAATTATGAAAGTTTATTTTTCCTTTAAACCTTTCAAAGCCCCTAGTCCGGATGGACTCTACCCATTTTTTTTCAAAAATACTGGAACATAATTGGCAACTCAGTTACCAGTCTTTGCAAGGAAGCGTTTAGTAGTGGAATTATTCCTGAAGGAATTAATGATACTTTTCTTTGTCTAATTCCAAAGATCCCCAATGCTAATAATTTAAAAAGTTTAGACCCATCGGCCTTTGTAAAGGTCATTAGCAACCATCTAAAACTTCTCCTAAACAGTCTAATAAGTCCCTATCAAGCTAGCTTCCTCAAAAATAGAAAAGCTTGTGATAATCCTATAATCATTCATGATTCTAAAATGAGTAGGTATCAGGGTAGAAACCATAATATGATCTTAAAAATAGATTTCGAAAAGGCTTTTGGCCGTCTTGAATGGTCATTTATCTATAGAGCCTTGAACTTCTTTAAATTCCCCCCTAATATCATTAAGCTTATTATGAGTTGTGTATCAACTACCAGAATAGCTATTTTAGTTAATGGTACTAGAACTGGTTATTTTTCACCTAGTAGAGGTCTAAGACAGGGTGATCCTATGTTCCCGTACCTATTCATCCTTTGCATGGAAAAGCTTTCCACAAATATCAACCATAAGGTAGATTTAGGTGTTTGGAATCCAATTACCATTGGAAAAAATAATCACCAACTATCGCACCTCTTCTTTGCGGATGACCTAACGCTAATGTCCAAGATTGATGACAATTCCATAAGCTCCATTAAACAATGCTTAGATCAGTTTTGCAATTTGTGAGGCCAGTCAATCAACAAGGCTAAGTCTAAAATTATTATCCCAAAAACCTGGCCCAAACATATTGGAACCAATCTATCCAATTTTTTCAATATAAATATTAGTAATTCATTTGGGAAATATTTAGGTTTCCAATAACTAACTCGAAACCTAGAGCCAAAGATTTCCAATTTGTTTTTGATAATATGCTTGCTAGACTAGGAACCTGGAAGTCCAACTGCCTAAATATGGCAGGTAGATCCGTTTTGGCCACCTCTTGCCTAAACTCCCTCCCTAGTCACATAATGCAATACACCCTTTTGCCTACCAAAATCCTTAGTACTATTGATAAAATTCAGCGGAACTTTGTTTGGGGTACTAATGCCACCTCAAATAAACTTCATCTCATTAGTTGGGATACTATTACTAGGCATAAGAAAGAAAGTGGATTAGGAATTTATAAGGCAAAGAGCAAAAACCTAGTCAGTCTAGCGAATCTCTCTTGGAGACTGCTCAATAACACTTGTTCTCCTTGGGCAAAAATAATTTTAGGGTTCCATAGTAGCAGGAAGACCTCAAAAAACTCTTCCTTCATATGGAATAATATCTTGAAAGGGTGGGAAATTTGTAATAAAGGCATTACTTGGCTATTCCATAAGTCATCCACTCTTAGTGTTTGGAACAGCCGTTGGATTCATGATACTTCCCCTCCCCCCCCTCCATCAGTGTATATCTGGCCCTTTGACCAAAACGGATAATTTGCTGCCTATAAAGGATATTTGGATTAATAATAATTGGGACCTATCAAAGATATCCATGAGTCTAGAAGCTAACTTAATTAAAAAAAATAAATGTTATAACCCCCAATATTGGTAATTGTGACACGCCTACTTGGTCGCTTAATACCAACAGGCTATTCACTAGCAAATCTTGCTATTCCATAATTGAAGATTACCTAAACAACGATAGAGATTTTATGTGGATTTGGGACTTAAAGTGTCCCAACAAGCTGAAATTCTTATTATGGAAATGTCTACACAATAAACTACCTACTAGAAGTTATTTGAATCATATTGGAATTAACATTGATCCAATTTGTTCTTTTTGTAAGGTCCAAATGGAAACTAATACACATGTCTTTTTAGATTGCCTAGCAGTAAAGGATCTATGGCTACTACTCGGTTTTGACAAGAGCAGAGGGAATTATATTAGTAATTGGGTAACAAATTTACGGGACCATAATATATCCTTTAGAAATGGTATTATCACATGGAAAGATATATTTTCTTTTGTCATATGGATAATTTGGATCAATAGGAATAATAACCTATTTAACAATACTACTAATAAATCGGCACTTCATTATGCCTTTAATCAAGCAGTGGAATACAAACTCCTTACCGAAAAGGAATATATAATGCCCAAGGATATCCTTATCACTATTAACTGGATTAAACCGCCTACAAATCATATTAAGCTTAACATTGATGGTTCGTTTAAGGAAGCCAGTTCTCTTTGTGGTTTTGATGGCATTTTTAGAAATAGTAGGGGTCAGTGGATACTTGGCTTCTATGGAACCCTACCAGGCTTATCCCCCATCCATGCAGAACTGATGGCTTTAAAAACATGCCTTCACATAAGAGCAAGGTTTAACCAATTTAGAAGTGGAAACGGACTCAGATGATGTCATTATTTGTTTGGATAATGGAATCACTACTTTTAATAACATTATTCACGAGTGCATGTCATTAATGATCCAGGTGAAGGTTCAGGAAATCCACCACATTTTCAGGGAAGCCAACTAGCTGGCACACATGATGGCTAGGAGAGCACTGTGTGGCAACAATGGCAGGGATCTTAATATTCTCTACTACCCCCTTATTTTGCAATTGATGTTTTAAGCTTAGACTGTGAAGGCTCTACTTATCTTATTAAAAAAGTTAGGAAAGATGTCTGCTCTAGACTGGTATATTTTGGAAACAAAAATGTCCTTTGAGACTTGTTATGTAATAGCCAAGTAAAAAATGCCCCCTTGGGCAGTTATAGTAGTATGAACTCTACTATTATGTGATATATATAAATAAGATCCATGTTCTAAAAAAAATAGTTTTCTTCAATGCAAATATTAAGAAAAAATATTCCATGCAACATCATATCAAGGCTGTTAATTAATTTGATTTAACTAAAAAACAAATTTTGATGTCTAGAAAAGAGAGCGTCAAACACAATTTCATGTCACAGAAATTATTTTTTATTATCAGGAGATTGAATCAAAAAGTTTTTTCATTAAGCAGACATAATTGGAAAAAAAAAAAATACTCCTATGTTTTAGAAAACCTGCCAAAAGTTGATAATTTAATCAACCACGCATTTACCAAGATGTAAATTTTAAGATTTGATACTTGGGACCCAAGTTATTTTACCCTAGCTAATTTTAACCACAAACCACGGAATTACCAATTCCAGAGCTTCAAACGACGTCGTGGCTACTTCCGTGCCGTAGGTAAGAATTGCCCCCATTTCATTATCAACCCCTAATTTCCGTAAATCTTCTCGTCATTCTCACGGGGCACGCGGAAATTCGGGTCGAAACCAGGGGTAATTACGGAATAAATATTGCTATATATAGGGCGCCAGTGTTAGATGTTTGGTTTCTCAGACGAAAAAGATCTGAGCGAAGCAGAGACAGAAGTTTCCGTTATCCGTTTCTCTTTCACTCACCACAGGCTTTCTTTCTCCCTCCGTATCTATCTCTTTCTCTCTCTAAATTCTTGAGATACTCTTCTCACAATTTTAGGGTTTTTGATCCCTTTCCAATCAATTACTGGTTTGACTCATCAACAATGGGTTCCGATTCAATCCTCAGCGGTTCGATCGCTATTGTTTCCTCTAACCCCAAAGATTTTGCCAAGAAAAAAAGGGTAACTATTTCTGTTTTTAGTTTCTACCTATTCATTTACGTTTTCAATATTTTTTTAGTGATTGAGTTGTATTTCTGCGTAATTTCAGGCAAATCGGTCGGCTAAGTTGAAGCAGTGCAAGCTTGATGCTCGACGCGAGCAGTGGCTTTCACAAGGTTGCATAATATCTCCTTTTTTCATATATAATTTTGCATGTATTTGTGATCTGCCTTTTGCTGAATTTTCCATTTGCATCTTTTATGGGTTTAAGCAATAAACACTGACAAAATAAAGTTCTTTTAAGAATGTCGGTGAACTTTAACTTGTATTAGCAGATTGGTTACCATTTGTATCAGATTATTAATCAGTGCTTTTCAAGAGATTTACGTGTAATACCTAACAAGTGACCGATTGTGTGATACAGTCACTGCATAGAACTTGAAGTCTCGTTTTGTCCCTTTAATTTCAAGATTTGTAGCCACCATATATATGCGATTATTTATTTGAATTTCTTGTTATGTCTATGTTTCACAAATCTTGGCGTTGGGGTTTTGTATAGTGAAGAACAAAGGCTTGAAGGAGGAACCAAATGCTGGAGGTACACATAGTCCAGCAAAGAATGTTGAGAGCGAGAGGAGACGATTGATTGAGAAGTTGCAGATAAAGCCGAGAGGCGAAGAGGACAATGAAGGATCATCAAACCACTACAGCGATTCTGATTCGCCTACAAGCCACACCAGTAGTGTTTTGGGAGGAAATGATTCTGGGACTAATTTCACCGGGAGCAGCAGCAGTAGCAGTAGTTGTACCAGCAGTAGTAGTGGTGGATGTTTTTCAGGGAGTATGAGCGAGGAAGATGACGAATGCTTGGATGATTGGGAGGCTGTTGCTGATGCTCTGGCTGCCACTGATCACAAACAGGAGCAGCATAATCCCAGCTTGGATTCACATTGTGAAAGGGATGATAATGTTGCGCATATGAGTTCTAGGCAAGAGACTTCTAACAGGAAGGTTTCAGAGTCTAGTGACAGAGGATTGGCACCTAGACCTCCTCTCAGTTGCCAGGCATGGAGGCCTGACGATACCTTCCGTCCACCGAGTCTGCCAACCTTGTCGAAGCTGTATAGTTTTCCTATGAATTCTGAGCGGCATTGTAGGGGAGGCTCTGTATGGGGATGTAAAAGTTTATCCTCCATACCCACGTCATGTCCTATATGCTGTGAAGATTTGGATTTTACAGACACAAGTTTTCTCCCTTGTTCATGTGGGTTTAGGCTTTGTCTCTTTTGTCACAAGAGGATTCTTGAGGAGGATGGGCGTTGCCCCGGATGCAGGAAGCAGTATGTTCAGGATCCAGTTGAGCGAGAGGCTACCATAGATGGAGGCAGTCTGACAGTTCGATTGACTCGTTCTTGTAGCATGATATCAAGGTCCTAGGAAGATTCTGTTTTTCCGTGAATGTCTATGTTGGGTCCTTTTCTGTCTCTGCGTGATATGTGAGTGTTCTAGCTCTTAGCAGACTGAGACTCAAGATTTTCCGTAGCTATAGATGTTGATATAGGTGATTCTGAAAGCATGGGAAAATAGTTCTGGTTCTCTTATGATTTTTTGCATTATAGATGTGGTGCTTGTGCTGATGTAGAACACTCATTATGTGAATAAATAAGGTGGTATAGAAGTTAAATAAATCAAGCTTTTACCTTTATCAGCCTCCTATCTGATTAATATGAATCAATAATTTGAAAACAATTTGAAATTACCAGAGTTATTTAAGAAATGCTTAAACTTTTGACAAATTAAGAATGAGAAAGCATCTGCTACTAGTGTTCCAAACCTTCCTCTGCTCTAGAGTCCATGAATACCTATTAAGAAATGCTTAAACTTTTGAGAATTAGAAACACAGAATTGATTACCATCAATTAAATAACAAAAGTGGATAAATTAATTTACCATTTAAAAAAGGATATAAGCCTTTGATAGCAAAAATTCAAGGTGTCTGAATTTATAATTAATCAGTATAACATACTGGATAAATACTAAGAGTGGGTTACTCAAAAAAAAAAAAACCTTAAAATATTAAGAGAGGTTGTAGGGTTTTTTGCTTGGCAGTTGAAGCCCTTTGTTTCAGACTTCAACTGTATTCCTCTCTTCTTTTCTGCCCTTGTCAAATTATTTTTGTACTACCAGAAATATTGTAAATTTTTTTTGAATGTATCCTGCATGTGCCAATCAAGTTTACAGCGTTTCAATTGAGAGGAAATGGAATTCTTATTTTGATTTACTTTTATATCTTGAGTGTTGGAGACATGTACAGATGCTAGCAGAATGTAAAGTTCGTGTTGGGTTTGACTAAGACATTGCATATTCTTCTTCTTAGAGGTATCTGAGCAACATAGTTAATTTTGTGGATGATGGTGCAGTCCAGTATATATGTAGAACTTTCTGGAGTCAAAGAGGGATAATTAGGCCTTCAAATGTGTGAAGGCTTCGGAGAATCAGTGTTGATCAATGATTTAGAAGTTTTTTCTCCCAGTGTTCACTAGTACAGACTTGGTGCATGTACAGATACTGCTGACTTAGACTGTCTGTATCTGTCTATGATCGTTGATTCAAGTCTAAAAGCCCTTTAAGGTAATTAACCACATAAACAAGCATCATGTCTTATCTGTCTTATTATATATATGTCTTATGAGTTAAATCGCTAAGACAGTAACGTCCCTGTGGTGCAAGTATGAAGCAATTAGTAGTCATCAGGATGGGGTTCAGCATCATCTATTGAGTGTTTTGAATGCTTGGCATCTATAGATGTGATACTAAACTAAAAACGACCTTTTGCAATGCTATAAAGGAACAGGAGAACGTTTTAAGTAGCAGAAAACTACAGATTAGAGGAATGTTGTGTGCATTTGGGATGCTTCATATTTGAAAATTTTCACCTCCTATCCAGTCAATATGAATAGATAATGAGAAACCAAGTGCTAAATATTTTATTTGCAGTTTCCAGTCTTTACTACTTAATGCATATGAATCATATATATATATATATATATATATATATATATATATATATATATATGCTGGTTCTCAAACGAGCAGGTCTGTCGCCTTCACTTTTCTCTTCACTTGGTTTAGAGTGACATGTATTTCCTCAGCATATTTTGGGGCTTTTAGTTCGGTACCTATGAGTGAATAACATTTTGCCTTAATTGTGGTAGTTTAGGTTTTCTTGGGATGTACTAGGCTTTTATTATGCTTTTGGAAGAAATCTCGTCAGTTGAGGTTCATTAAGTGGAGCAGTCTTGTTTATTCATTCATCAATTTATGTGCTCAGTTCTAATGTTGTTAACCTCTTTGTCTTCCTCATTTTGTGTGCATTTCGCTATCTTCTAAAGGCTCTCTTAATATTGCACATACAAGTTCTACAAGTAGGTAGTGGGCTTCCTGATCATTATGTCTATTCTCCATTTGCTTCTAAGCTTACCCATCACATGTCAAGTAGAAGGGTTCTAGTGATTATTTCACCGGATGCCGTTTTCATATAAGATTGTGTAAGGATTTTTTTGCTTTTGCCAAATGACTCCGTCTGATGAACTTAATAATCGGGGATAAATTAAGAGACAGTCAGTTTGGTGTATCTCGCTGAGATCAGAAGCTGGAAGAAGCAGTCATTAGTTGAGTAGCCCCTACCTTTATGAGTCAAGGTTTGATGAATTTGATCACTTTGTATTCCTGATCTTACTCTGAGTGAGGTTGATTCTGTTATCATATTCTCAACTGTATTCCTGATTTCACCATGAATATGAGGTTAATAATGTTCATCATATTACTGACGTTATTCTTGGCAAAGTTTATTTTCATGGTCGTCCATGAACAGACTAGTTATTCAAGTATCGTAATACAGGAATGTCATGTGATGAATAATCCAAGGAATTGCTATGAAGATATTGCAGTACAGATATCTAGAATTAACTTATCATGGTATTGCCAATACATGTAATTCTACTCCTGTGTAAAATACTATAATTATCCGCATATGTTATGCATGTAGTAATTTTAGGGGTCAATGTGGTATGGAAGCATCTAGAAAATATCTGAACCTTGCTCATGAACAGGGTTAATTATTTTGAGAGCTGAGTGCTGACTCTAGTTGTTTGAGCTGTAGCATAAGTTTGTTGCTTTAAGGTTTTCCGTACTCTAAGAATCATCTATACAATTTTTATTCAGAGCTTTTCAGTTACTGTTTCCTATCTGCATGTCGCTGGGTTCTTATGCTTGTATATCTTTAGTTTCTAGAGCAGCAAACAGTATTTGAGTTGTGCTGTGTCCATGAAGTAGAAGATTATACTGCAACAGTTATAAGTCTCTCTGCCGGCGTGGTTTTTGACTGCTTCTGTTGTGTTCAGGGAATATATGCAAATTTGTCTGATAGACGTGAAGCTCTAAAAGGATGGTTCTGTATAATATATGTTATTATTCCGATCTCCATTATTTTCCTGAGCAATGGTATACATCAGAAAACTTTTATGCTACCAGCATTCTTTACATAGTGTTGGTAACACCTGATTTGTATTGAAATTCATTACTCCCTCCGGTCCAAAATAAGTGAATTTTTGGCATTTTTCTTGTGGTCCAAAATAGAGATTTTTCCAGATTTTAAGAATGAATTAATTATTTTTTTCCTACATTGTCCTTGGAGTAGATAGTGTTGGAATATGTGTTAGGAGTGTTTATGTGAGATAGTAAAGGTTAATATGGTCAATTCAATTGCTAATTAATGCTAAAAGGTGAATCTCTTAATCTGTGTGAAAACATTCAAAAAATCACTTATTTTGGATCGGAGGGAGTATTTGTCAAGTGAACTTGTATTTGTGTTCGTGAAACAATAAGAAATTATACTTTGGAAAAGGCGAGCTTGCAAAATGCATAACTAACGTCTGTATCATCAAGACTTTGGTCCCATGAGAAACTTTTACCATCCAGGGCGTCATTTTCATGAGACTTTAACCAGTCATAATCTGTATCTGGATGTTTAGAGGCTGTGTCACCAGAGACAAGTGTAGATCTAATGAAATATTGACTTATGATATACAAAATGTAAATATGAAATGAATGAAGCAATTGCACAAAGTATGAGTCCAGACCTCGCGAAGAAAACACCAGGCTAAGCCGCCTGTACCTAGCTTACTCCTTTTATGTACGAAGCTACTCTTTTCCCCTCAAGCTTTCCTTTTTACAACCGTCTCAACTTCTCTACTAAACACCCTTCGGTCTTTCTTCTTTTCTTCCTAAATTAATCCTCCCCACTTAAACCCCTCACGAATCCTAATTCCAGAATTTACAAAGTTATGCTATACTCACAAATATCTGCCGCAAGCTAAAACAACCTGCACTTAAAAATCAATCAATAAAGCAATTATTAAGAACCGTCAAAGAGCCTTGTCACTCTACGCTCAAAATGCAACGCCGACCCATTCCCTTCGACAGTTTCGCCATTCGTTTCACTCCTAATCATGCACCCAGTTGCGCAACCTCCCCTCATATGCCACCTCCATGCCCATCTCCTCACATTAGGCTTGAATATCCACATGTATGTCGCCACCTCTCTGCTTAACGCGTATGCTGGAACCTCGTTTGATTGTGCATACAAGCTGTTTGATGAAATTCCCGTGAGAAATACTGTCACGTGGAACTCGATGATATCTTGCTTTTCTCGTTCCGGAGATGTTAAAGGAGCGAGGAAGATGTTCGATCAGATGCCTTTGAGAGACCTAGCTTCGTGGTCGTCAATGATTGCTGGATACATGAACAATGGTCATTGTGAGGAAGGTGTGGCGCTCTTCCAAGAATTGGTTATTTTTGAACAACTAAAGCCTGATCAAGTGACCATTTGGCCAATATTGGCAGGCTGTTCTAAAATGTGTTCAATTGGTTTGCTCCTTGGGAAATCAGTGCATGGTTTTGTCGTGAAGAGTCACTTGGAACTTAATGTGGAGCTTGGTACTTGTTTAGTAGACATGTATGCTAAATGTGGATTCATGAATTTTGCTTCTCTGGTTTTCGATATGATGAAAGATAGAAATGTCGTTACTTGGACTGCTTTAATTTGTGGAGCAGCAAAACATGCTTTTGGAACTGAATCGTTGGAGATATTCAAGAAAATGAGACAAGGGGATGTGCTACCTAATGAGTTTAGGTTCACTGGGGTACTTAGTGCTTGTGTACAAGCAGGGCTGGTCAATGAAGGTCGTGGATATTTCAAAATGACCAAAGAGTGTGGACTGTGGACTGAGACCAACAATTCAGCATTATGGCTGCATGGTTGAGTTATTTGAGAAGGCTGGGTTGTCAGGGGAAGCATATGAAGTTATGAATACTATGTCACCTGAGCCTATCGTAGTTATTTGGGGTTCCTTTTTGTCATCTTGCAAGTTGCATAAACAGTTTGAGATGGCAGAGCGAGTGATTGAGAGGGTCATGAATGTGGTGAGGCCAGAGAATGATGGAGGGGTTTATACCTTATCTCAGACTTGTATGTTCTGGGTGATAAATGGGCGGAAGCCGAGAGGGTGAGGCAATTGTTGCTCCATCAACATGTGCGGAAAGCTAGAGGATGTTGTTTTATAAGAAATAATACAACATGAAGTATTAAACTGCACCAGAAGAATCATTCCTAAAGTTGAGAGGAATCATTTTAGAGCACATTGCTCTTTACCTGATCCTAATGCCTGAACAACATGGCTTAAATTGCCTCTACCTTGATGTAACATTCACCTCTTGATCAATTTTCTTGGTTTATATGCTTAGTAGTTGAATCAGAGGTTGATGATGTGGGTAAAAGTACAAATTGCATTTGATTATCTTTTCTTTTCGTTATATTTGGCGATATCTGCTTCATCTGCTTGCTTCCTCTGAGATTATTAGCCAAGCCTTTGGGTCAACGTGTTGGTAATTCAGAGGACTGGGATTCAATTTGCCTGAAGTTTTCCTCATCTTGGTTATCAGGTAATTCTCTTTGCTTCTCTTCACCCTTGACTGTGTTTTATGTCTATGATCTCCTACAAGTAGCCAGATTTTTGGTGGGGTGTGTGTGTGACAGAGACAGCGCGAGAAAGAGGGTAGTTGAAGGTTGAGTAGTAAATAATCAAGATTCACAATGTATAACATATTGGTGCATTTACCTACTCAATAACAGGTTTCTCAAATTTCTGAATTGATAACGAGGAAATATGTGGGTACCATTATAACCAGTTACAGTGAAATAAGATAGTTATTCTCTTTCTGGGTGGGGGGGTGGGGGGGTGGGGGGGGGGGGGGTTAGTATGTTAATGAGATAATTCAAATGTGGAGAATGTAAAGACTATTTTTAGTTTTTGACAATCTACTCTACTTTCAGTGAACTTATAAGAGTAATGAAGTTTCATCAGAACTCATTCTCAGATTCACTACTCAATATTTCTGGTGTAAAGTATGTTCTCAAGTTATGGAACCTCGCAGGAATTCTTGGTGTTGTTGATTGGGGTGGTGGTGACTCTACGCTTGATGCGTTCTTCTTCTGTACTTTCTTTGTGATATCTACACACACTTTATCAACCATGTCAAGAAAGTCTTTCACAATGGCAAACAACTGAAGTCCCTGTGTGCCTTTGTCCTTTGAAGATCCTGCTTGGTAATACTCTGTCGTTCTCTTCACAAGTTCCATGACTCTTGTTTGTTCTTCTCTGATCACCTTGAGTTCCTCTTCACATTCCTCCAGAAACCCTTTAGTCACTTTTACAAATCGATCTCTTTCAGCATTTCCACAGCACGTTATGAGCTGGCGAACATCATTTATCCGCATTGTAAGAGTGGAACATGTATTGATGAAACTATCGCAGTCCATGGTAGCTGCTTTCTTTACATTAGAGAATTCGGAACTCAATCCTTGCAAAACTGGCAAACCTAGTATTAGGGTCTCTGTTTCTTTTTCTAGTTTTTCCGTCTTTCTATCAAAATCTTCATTGTCAACCTTGTTACCTTTATTGATAAGGCGGCGTTTACCTTCAGAACGGATGACTTGTTCAACTACAAAATGAAGCAGAGTAGTCTTTCCATCGTTGCTTTTTACATATGATAGTTTTTGTAATGCACCAAGGTTGAATCCCTTAGCATTTCCTCTAGCCGTTCCTGCATTCATCCGATTGCCAGCCTTAAGAATGGCTTCCAGAAGTCTTAAGAAAATTCTACATGTTCTCAATTCTTTACAACCCTGCTCAACTGTTTGCAAATTCTCCTTGAGGCTTAGAATTTCTGTATCATAGCTTGATCTGAAAAGCATAGCATTGAAACGCTTAAAAGCAGAAGGAACAGCTTTCAGCATGTGATGGAGAAAAGACTCGGCATCAGCAAGTTTTCTTGGGTCACCATCAAATTGGAGGATTTTTAATGTTTCTTCTTCAGTTGGGCAAATCTTGGTTAGTTTTTCAAGGGTATCAACACTGAGTCCTTGACCCTCCAAGAGGGCATCAAGTATTTCTTCGCGAGAGATTGAAAGAGACTTGAGTACAATTGCTGTGTTCTGTGACCTCCTAGGATCGAGAATAAAGATCTGCACTGGTCGAGCCAACTTAGAAGTGGCTGAGCTTGTGGTCGTGTTATTTCCTTCGGGGGTTTTCTGGGAAGTGATATTGTATCCAAAGAGAACTTCCATAAGGTCATCTTCAAATCTGAAATGTGAATATATCAATGCAGTTAGAAGAACTTAGATGCTATTTGGTTGAATTGAAAATAGGCTCCAGCTACACTAAAGGAATGTGATTGACATGCCAAGGTGAACTTACCGGAAAGAACCGTTGTTGATTTCATCCCAGACCATGGAGTGATCAGTATTAGCAATGACTTTATCCCAGTGCAGTGGCCTCAGTTTAATTTGAACTTCACCATCATCTTTTGACTTCTCATCAGTTGGAGCTTCTGCTTTCTCTTGGCTGCTCGCTTTCCCTCTTGGTGCAACAGGTGGTTTTAATGATGAATGCAACCCGTTCCCCTTTGGTGGGGGTGGTGGAGAAGGTTTTATTTTCCCTGCATTAGGTGGTGTTGGTGCTTTAATAATCCTTTTCATTGGAAGGGGAGGCGGAGGTGGTGGAGATGGACGTATTGGTGGTTGAGGTGGATTTTGACTCGAGAGAACTGCTGGTTGAGAGGGTGTTTCTATTGGAGGAGTGATTTCCTTCTGTGGAAACTGTAATGAGGACGATGGAAGTTGAGGATATGGATGTTGTGAAGATCTGCTTGCTGCAGGGAGTGAGTTCATTGTTTGTTGTGCAGTATCTGACTCTTTCTCATAGCCATCTACATTGCTTGCATTTTGCAGTAATGGGATTTCTTGGATATGATCGCTTGAAACTGGTTTCTCTTGTCGGCTATCAATCCTCTTCTCTTCCTCCTCATCCATGTAATTCACCCAAACCTTAGAAAAGCAACTTCCGAGCTGTCTACCCTCAAATTTTCTCAAATATATAACATCAAGCCCATTTTCATCTACTATGAGCCCTTTTAAAGCTCCACTTTGCTGGAATTCTTGATGAGGCACAGAACCAGAAACTTCTCGATGGAAACTTGAGTTCAACTTGTTTTTCTTCCTTTGACGAGCTATATAGTATCTGTAGAAGAAATAAAATAGTATGCTGGCAATTATCAAAGTAGTTACAACTGCAGCTATAACAGCCTTCAGAACTACCTGATTCTGAGATGAATGTGTTAGAGGTGGCCCTGGTGCATTCATTTCAGCCAAAAGGTGAGTAGATGCTTTCAGTATAAAACTGATCAGTGAAAAGAACTACTACTTAGGATAAATCCAGTTTCTGTTGCAGAGTTTGACAGAGGAAGATTGGCATGGATTTCCTGGCTGGACCATGCTCTGATCAAAGTGAAGGAAAGACTTCCTTTTTTGTTTGTATTTTACGATGCTATATTCATTTTGTTCTGGACATTGGCTGCTGACGATTTCAAAGTAAGTTGTTGTTGTTAGTTGGCTGTCTTAAACTCATAACAGTCCTTTAGTAGAAATTGCATTATTGCTGTTGTCTGGACTCTGAACGTATTCTGAAAACCAAGAAAGCTTGTGGGTTTAGTGTAAGTTTGGGCAATTTGAAAATTTTGGTATATTGTGTTTGTAGTCAGGCGGTTGGTGTAAGGTTTTACTTAGTCTTATCTTCCTTTATTATAAAGAACGACATCTGTATCAATGTGGTGTTTCTATAGCTACAACGTTGAAACAAATAGTAAATGATGTCTCTTTGCATATTTTAATAGAAAACTGTCCTTTTTTGGAGTCGTTTTCTTCTTTGTTTTATCCAATTAGTTGTCAATGCATTATGACATCAATCAGAGTTCAATATCAAGAACTATTTTTGAAGAGCAGCGACAAGGAAGTCTCTGATTTTATAGGTGGAGTTACAAATTTTTTGACCTTTTTTCTATGTTAAGTATTTCTTTTGTTATTTCTTTGGCAATTTAAGTTTTTCCAATTCTTGTAAACGAACAACGATTTCTAACCACTCTTTCTAGGCGTTTCTTCAATTTGAAATAGAACATTATAGAACGAGTATATGAAAGTTGGCACGACCAAGCCACATTTCTAGACACTAGTCATTTTCAAACTCTGGACCACTCCCAAAATTATAATCCAGCTTTGCGGAAAAGGAAGCAGGATTGACTATTTACCAAGTAGTCAATAAATAATTTGACTATATTCCCAAAATAAGTAAAATCGGTTATCGAAAATCCAAACAAACAGGCTAAATTTTCTAAAATTCAAAGGAAAAATGACGTTTTAAAAATAATAGCCGAACAATGTATAAAATTTGTGTATTTTTTGTATATATATACATTATGTATGTTATATACAAAAAATATAAAAATTTATACACTTTTTCGGCTACCAAATATAAATAGTTTTTGGCGCCGGCTAAAAGTGATAATATCCCAAATTTAAATCATAGCTAACTTGTTGTAATTTCATCAAATGTCTTCACCTATTCTATCATTACTCATGGGCTCACCCTATCCAAATCAAAATGAGAAAAGAGAAAACTAGAGAGAATGTTAAAGTTAAGGTTTTTGTTTAGGAAATTTTACCTCCTATAGCAAAGTTTTACACCCTATTTATTATAAATAAAAACCCTTTTAAATTATTATTTTCTATAGCTACCTTTTAGATGTTATAGCAAAATATGTATTTATGGTCATTTCCTACCGTTAAGCCATTAAGTACGCTGTCTAATATTTTTCTCTCTCATCCTTTCAGTTTATTCTCTCCCAAAATCACCGCATAGTATCTTATTTTTCCCTCAGCGATCTCTCTCTCCTCTCTCCTCTCTCCTCTCTCCCCTCTCTAGGCGACATGGAGACCTAGCAGCTACCATGGTCGTTTTCAATATTTTTTGCTCCAAATTTCTCTCACCAACCTTTATCAGCCATTGTCTCCCTCAATTTTCAATATTTTTTGCTCCAAAAAGTTGTAGTAAGTGTTAAAGTATTTGGATTTTTGACCGGTTAAAGCTTCTTCTTTTTCTCTTCAACGGTTCCTTTTTTTAAAAAAAATATTCACCATTATTAGGTTTTCAGCAGAATACCCACTAAAGCACTCACTTTAGAAGGGCCATCTTTCGATTTGTAAATCACTCAAGAGAACCTGTATTTGCATGTTCATCAGCAACCATTGAAGTCGAAAGGAGAACAAAAATACGCAATGATTCTAATTGTAGATGTATTTATATGTATTCGAGTCCGAATACATTAATTTTTAGTTTGTACAGTGGTTTTCTCTTCTTGTATTTAGATGTATTTATATGTATTTGATAAGGCATACATTGATTTTTATTTTGTATAGTGATTTTTGACTGTTGTATTTAGATGTATTTATATGTATTTGAGTTCATACAATAATAACTTTAAATACATTGTTAGTTCTATCATTTGATGTTATTCATCAATTAGTTATGCATTCAATCTAACTGTATTCATCTGTATTTTCAACCTAACTGTATCCATTTGTATTTAAAACAACAATACAGTAAAATACTCTCAATACAAATACAAAATCAATGAATACAACCAATAAAATATACTCAATAAAGCAGTAATACCATGTATTAGGAATAAATAAAATATTATGAATACAAAAATAAACTTGAATACATTGAACACAGCTGTTAGACACAAAGAAATACAAGCACTAGGTTTATTATGAAATATGCAGGCAACAGTTACTATTACAGTTGTATACGGCATAAATACACGATGTATTCATATACAGAAAATCGAATACAAGCACTAGGTTTATTATGAACCTCGAACAATGTCAGGAAAAAAAAACTCGAACTGTATCAGAAAAAAATAGGGGCTGAAACTCTAAAGAATGCTCTATCTTTTTGTGTTCAGCGTCTGATAAATCTTCTAAATAATTGGATTGATAATGTTGTGTGTTATAAGTGATTTAGGTTAGTTATATTAGGAGTGTATCTCATTAAATTATCATCTTTCCGTTATTAAGCAACTGGAGAGATCTATTATTACGTTGTATTCATGAATACATGTGAATACAGCGATTGACAGCTGGACTACTCTATTTTTTAGCCGATTTTTGCTACTGTATTCATGAATACAGTAGCTCGAATACATCGAATATATTACCATAACAACTGAAAGGTAGCTACGGAAAGTAATTATGTATATAGTAGCTATAGGAAGTTAATAGCCACTAAACAATAATCATTTCTGAAAATTCCTCTTTTGTTTATCCTATGCCCTTCAGCCGGCCTAAATAGAGAGTAAAACAAAGTATATGAAAGAAAAAAAATTCAAAACACTAAGAATTACTGTTGGTTTAATTAATGAAGATTTTTTGATAATATCAAGTAATGTACGCATTAATAGTAGGACCACTTTTAGATTGAGAAATTTATTGCTATTGTGAGCTATGACTTCAAAATTACTATACTAACACCTAAATTATCCGCCTGTTCTTCATTTAGACCAGTAGGTGTGCAGCTCGTTATTAACACCGCCAATTCCTTATATTCTGGTTTTTAACTTTTATCTTATTTTATTGCTCCAGCTCATTAAATAAATGTCCACGAAGCAGTAAGCACCACAATTTTTTGAATTGATAAAACTTTTGTATGTTTTCACTCTTCAGTGACTGAACAGTAACTCAAGTACTTACACTTACTCAGCAACTAAAACCACTTTGTTGGAGTACGAAGAATTAAATGCTTGATTGTATTATTGTACTTAGCTTGGTAGAAAAGTGATTAAAACTAGGAAAAGGGTCAATATTGCCCCTCAACTGTTGTAATTAGGAGGACAACTATACTCTTCAATTGGTTTTGGTCCAATAAAATCCTTTTCGTTATTCAAATATCTTACTTATACCCTTTAAACATAACGGACCTTCACATATAATTATAAAAAGGAAAAAGGGGCCAAATTCTCCCTGAACTATTACGAAATGAAACATTTTTGCCTTTCGTTAATAGTTGGGATCACTTACGCCTCGCTGTCAAAATGGCTCATTTAGACCATTAGGTAATTAACTTTCTGTCTTCTTTTATTGGCATAGTTAATTAAATGTTGCCTAAACGACTGGCTGAATGCAATTTTTAAAATAATATTTTTTTGTTTCTTCTTAGGTCTTAGGGACAGAACAACTCCTACAAATGTCTCCTTCGCCGCTAGAACCACTTTGATATATCGATTGCGAAGAATAAAATGCTTGACCATATTATTGTTCTTAGCTTTCATATTTTTTTGTCGACCACATATATTGCTGGAAATTCGGTTTACGTGGTTTGATCAGTTTGTTGTGAATTAAACGATTAGCATCGATCCTCAAATATTCGCAAATTTAAAAGGGAAACTATCCGCTAGTCTATTTTTAAGTAGCTCAAATATTAGCCAATTAGCTATTTGTAACAAAAAAAGGTCAAATTTTTGCTTTCTTTTGAGTGAGTGTTATTATAATAGATTGGGTACACCATAAGGAGCTTGAATCTCAGTTTTGGGATGAATTGGTGAAGTTTTTAGGTGGTTTGAATTGAAAATTCGAAGTAAACACTGAACATGAAAAAAAGATGATATGTGTATCACACTGCGTATCATTTGTATATCACATATGTATCATATTTGTATTATTTGGGTATCACATGTATATCCATGTATAACTGTGTATGAGGTACATGCGTGTTACATGTTTGATACATGTGTCGCAGGAAAAAATTTTGAACTCGATTTCATTACGAATTTTGATACAAAACCAGTCCAAATCACCTCCAATCTTCCTCAAATTTTGTATATTAACTTATCGATATGTTTTCAATGAATTTCAACTATACCCACTGAAAATGTTTAGAGTTTTGGAATATTGTATATTGTTTTTGTTGTATTTTATCACCTTATTTGATATCTCATCCATGAAATATCCTTTCAGTTTTGCATCTAATGTTGCTAATCACGCTTAAAAATATGGAAGGAGATTTTTGCATGTGATTCTTTGAGAGAAAGAACCATATTTATTTGATTTTTCAATTTTTATATGTGATTGGCTAGTTTTGGTAAGTTTATGACTAATGGCTAGAGGTTGGTAAGTTGAGACTTATTTGAGACATTTGTGTAAGTTAACTACCAGCTATGTCCATTTATAAGTAGCTTATTACAAAAATTGGCTAATTTATAAAAAATTTACTACTATTAGCCAAATATTACTAATTAGCCATTTAGCTATTTGTAGCGAAAAAAGGTCAAATTTTAGCTTTTTTTGAGTGGGTATTATTAGAATAGATTGGGTACATCTTAAGAAGCTTGAGTCTCAGTTTTGGGATGATTTGGTGGAGTTTTGAGGTGGTTTGAATTGNAACCAATATTTATTTTG